CGCTGGGCGGCAGCGCGTCGGGCACAGGGTCGGGCGCAGGGTCAGGCGCAGGGTCGCTCGCCGCCCCAGGGCTGGAGTAAGCCGGCGGGGTGCGCCTCGCACACAACGACGACAAAATGACACTGTTCAGCTTCTCGCTCAGCGTCTCTATGTATTCTTGGACAGAAACTTCTGATGCCTGTAAACAGATGTATTCTGAAAGTCTCATTATCCTCTCTCGGGCAGAGAAGACTGGTGTGGACACACCACTAACGTAAGCAATATTCCTTTGCTGCAAAATTTCTTGAATCTTTCTTGCAAAGAGATTATATTCTTCTAATAGTGTAGTTTCTATTACAGTGCTAATGGAATGCTTAGATGTAAAAGGGTGATCTGCTAGACCACACTGATCTTCGAGTTTCTCCACTTGTCTTGTATAAAGCCCATCTTCTGCTGTCCCCTTTTGTGTGTCTGAAAATGGAGAGTATGGAAACTGATAATCAGGACTTCTCTGTTTATTTATTACCCGGGGGTCATTAGGAAAGGCATCCTTTGGCGGTAAATACACTAGTGGTTCTTCTGGTGATTTCAGACCTATATAGGAAGAGTTCATCATCATCATCTTATGTTTGAAAGTCATACACAACTGACATACTAAAACCTCAAAATCACAGTTTTGAAACAGCGTTACTGTTATGCTTCCCCGCCCCAAACAACTTATATCCAAAGACTCAAGTGTTACTGTCTGCTGAGGCACAGAAACACAGAAAAATTAATAGCTCCTAAGACAGCAGAACAACAGAGTCAGTTTTCTCAAAAAGCAGAACCCAAATAATATTCCCAGAGATAACATTGATACAGCATTTGGTTTCTTCACCACCCACATTCAAAACTAAAGTTTTGTTTGTTTTTGAACCAAATGTAACACTTGCAATTAATGATCTATACACAGACACCTGTATGTATCTTACACATATATTTCAGTATCTATCTGTTCCTGAAATACTTCAAAGGAGGTTCTTTGCTGATTTATTTGACTTTTTTTTTTTTGGTTGGTTTGTTGGTTTAAGTGTTGTATTATTGTTAAAGCTAATATAGTTGTAAGCAGCAAACCAGATTCCCAGAACAGAAGCAATAATCAAAATAGTACAGATGGTTTCTGAAAGTATTCTTTTGGAATGCAGTCAGTTTTCAGCCAGTTAAAGCCATATTCAGTCCCTAATTTCATTGTGGCCATCCATATCTAAAAGGAAAATATCAGCCACCATCAGGGTCCCTTTTTCAAGGTGACACTATCACCTCATAGTTACTTTATGCCCCCAGAGTTAAACAGAGAAATCAGAATTGCAATTCCACTTTCTCTTCCTGATCAATGAAACTATGGTATTTCTTCATCCTTCAAACCACATCTTTTAAGTCAACCCAAATTTCTAGTCTTCTTTAAAAGCGCTAAACACAGATATAAATCAGGTTATTCCAATTAGTTCCATTTGATTTTATCTGAACCTTTTTTTTCTCTTGCCCTCTACTTTCAAGGTTGATCTACAACTTTTGCACACATGAGTACATTGGTACCAAGTTCTTCAGTCTTTCAACATTAAACTACAAAGTTGACAAACTAGTTTAAGCTTGTTTAAAATACTTCAGAATATATTTTGTAACTCATTCTTCTTGAGCTGCTCAACACTTAGAAGCTCCATCACTACTGGAATCAAGAAATACTGTACTATAAGCAGGTTTTAGTAAGAAGATTAAAAGCTGTACTATGGTTTTAAATTTAGGGCTATTTTTATAACTTCTTATATTTTAACACAGCTTATCAGCTGCATACTAATTTTTAACAATTAGATATTCTTCTGTGGCTCTCCTGTATGCCCCCCCAATACAGGTAAAATATCATATCCTAAGGTAATAGAAAACATTCATATACAACCCACTCGTCTTGATCTGATGAAACATTTCTGTAACAACTCTATCAGGAAAAGTTTTCAAGATATATATGATTAAGAAGTCATTAGGTTATTCTTCAAATTATTACTTGAAAGTTTTAAGAAAGAAAGAAACTTTGTTCTTAAAAAAAAAAAGCCTTTTTAAAGTTTTTTTACAAAAAAAAAAAAAGAGCTGAATTTAAACTAAAGATGATTTAAACTAAAGTTACCCTTATTTTAAATAAGTGTTCTCTGAATGTGGCATCCTTCACAGATCTACACCTTTGGCTCACAACTCTCCACAAAAAAACAAATGCATGAGCAAGGAGCAAAACCCAAATAAACACACGCTTAAGCAGCTATGACAGTATGATTTCAAACATACACTTTGTTGGCATTACCTTGTAACTGATATGTCACAGGAACAGAAACACCAACTGCCTGAACACAATCTCAGCCACAGTGGCCATTTAAGAGCTGCTGAGGTAGTTATCCTTGCAGATTAAGAGTCAAAATTCTACATGGCTCAAGAGATCTCCTACAGCGACTCCAGGGAGAAAACTCTTGGGTAGATTTTGAAATCAGAAATTCAACTACCACCCGACAGAGAAAGCCTAGAACATTCTGTTTCTTCATATCCAAGATGAATAGCCGTCCTGGTCTGGGGTAGAACGGAGCAGGTTCTGTTGAATAATTTAACTTTTCAGCTAAAGCTCTTCTAATTAGCTGCACTTTCTGGTTAGCAGCATGTTTCGCAGACTGTCTGCTTTTAGCTGGGGTAACGCTCCATGTTTAGAGTTACTGCCTGGGATTGGGATGCAGACCAAGGTCACTGCTAAGCTTCTGCATCACACAGAGGGGGGCAAAAAGTTAAAGATGCACCTGCAGGGAGAAGCAAGCAAGATAAGTGACCCTAAAATTCACCACTGGGGTATTCCATTCCATATCCCTCATACCTGGTATAAAAGCTTAAGGACCAGGAGGGGCATCCCCTTCTGTCACCCTTCTGCCTTGCTTGCTTTGGCTGCTCCTGCAGTGGCTGGCCCCTGAGGAGGACTTCATCCATCCTGCCTTTGATCCCAATTCCGGTGTTCCTGAACTGAGTTCCAGAACCCAGCTCCTGTGCCCAGTCGCTGTCTGTGGCCGAGTCCAGCCTGAGATCCCCTCCCTGGGGGCTGCTCCCCAGCTGGGGGTGATGGTGACATATTGCCATTGGAGGGGAGTTGGGTTTGATACTGGTTTTATATACATGTTTGTATATATTCCATCTTATTATTATTTTTACTACTAGTAGTAGTAAAGCTGTTTTCTGAGCTATAAGTCTCTCTCCCTTATTGTCCATCTCTTTCCCATCAGAGCAGGGGGATGAGACGGTTACCGGTGAGCATCTGTCACTGGTCTGGGGGCATCCCTGACCCCAAACCATGACAATGGCATCAAAAGCCATAATTTTTAAGAATGTCTATTAATGCATTAATCTTCTCTTGGAGGAGAAGGAACAATAAGCAAGAACAAACACCATTTCTTACACTCATGTCTAAAGTCAAAGAGAAGTCTCCAATTCAAGCCAAAACCGAGTTCAGATAGGTTTCTTAAAACACATGTGCCCACATTAGCTTTCAAAAATAAGGCTCAGGTTTGCTGACCATTGTCAGAAGTTTAGATTATATAATCATGAAGAAAGGAACAATAATTCGATACAGAAGTAGTCCAGACAAATTAAGGACCTATGAACAGCGATCTCTGCCAACACTTTCTAATGTCATCAGGGAGAGGTAAGACAAAGCCCCCACTCCTCAAGTCACAAACTATGAAGAGTTAAGTTTAGCTGAACATGATCCCTGTACAGAATCACAGAATCACTGCAGTTGGAAAGGAGCTCCAGGATCAAGTCCAACCTTCTTCCCAATTTCCCTAATCACTAGATCATAGCTTCAAGTGCCTTATCTACCGATTTTTTGAACACCTTTGCTTAAAAAACATCTTTGTTTAAAAACTAAAACCAAGAGATTGCTAATTTGCCTTTCAGCAACTGTGCAGAGATCAAAAACTGGTGTTCTCCAAATTCCTTTCTATAGCTGCCTTACTACAAAAATGAGAGGCATGGAGAAGCCATCACATTTACAAAGCCATCAGGTTCAGAATAAAAGCTAAGCTTTCTTTAAATTATATTACTGAATTGATCTTAATGCCCTAGAATAAAAATTCAAAGCCCTCTAGAAAACACTATAGGGGAAGAAACATCCAGTAAAAACTGAGTGCCACTAGCCCAAAACATTAAAGGCTCTTTTGACTGTCCTACAGCCTTCTAATGTACTTCAACAAGTCCATGTGCTGATGAAGATTCAGTACCAGCTGAGAATACAAGCTGCTCAGCAGTTCAGGCCATAATGCCTTAGGCACTGTCCCACCCACTCTTCTCACCCGTTTATCTTCACATTTTTACAACTGCTCCTCTTGAACTCTTCCCGCCCCTCCTGAAGGACGGCAGCATTTCACGTTGGCAGAGTTTCTTGGTATTTATATAGCATTATAACATCATCATATTGGAGAGCTGGGCAATTTGAAGAAGTGACCTCATGAGAACTCAAGAAATTCAGAGATGCTCAGACACCCTCTCATCCCTACAGAAAAGCACTTTTCCCCTTGCAGAAGGCTGCAGAGGAATTTTTTCCTGGCGACGTCTGCAGTCTCACAGCTGACTGCGCAGCGCGTGTGCTGGCAGACAAAGCCCCGCACAAAATCTCACACCCCGTGTCTATGGGGTACTGCAGTCCTTAGATGCTTGATCATCCGCTTCACTGATTATCTCAGCAACCATAACCTCTCATCTATATGCACAGCAGCCATACAGGAGTAAAAGAAATAATGTCCCACCCAAACAACGCTGCAGTCTCCATGCTCCACGGCATAGCAATGTATCAGATGTTTGGCCCTTAAGGAAAGCGCAAGAGCCGCTGTGCAGGATTACCCCGGCATTTCACTGCACGGCCGAGGAGTTCCAGGAAGGGAAACCCGTCTCTCCTGCTCTCCTCCCTTCTCAGCCAAACAAATGAAAAAGAGCTGCCAAACTACACAACTAAAGTGTGCCAGAGACACACTCCATCATTCCTGGAATACCATCAGAAATCAGTGAAGTTTTTACTCAGAGAATGCAGTTAAATTCTGTTTGGATTTAGTCATAAGGCAGCTTTACTTGTAGCCTTCAATTTAGAGATTTTGGTAACTCTTCTTACAAGAGTTCTTACAGCCCTGTTTCTACGGCCTTCAAATTCATGCTTGTCTGCTCTCCCATGAGTTCACACTGTTGACTTATAAAGAAGCAGAAAAAGAAGCTTCTTCTGTTAGATTATTTAAGATTTAAAGGTTTCAATAAGCACAAAGACGTCAAAGCCCTTCTGGCAGAAGAGCCTGATGCAATAAGAAGTCATCTACTTTCTATAAGGAGAACACATTTTTCATTGCTCTTCTCAATTACTACTTGCAGTGATCCACCCGTCCGGTCTTTCAATAGAACCTGGCAAGTTCAAACGCTGAAAGCAAAGCAGTTAGGTACCTCACCAGACAAACACCAAAGCATTCCCATTTCTAAATTATGTTGGTGTGTACACAAAAGAATATTCTCCACTAGTATCTGTTTTCATCCAGTGGATTTCTGTATTAATCAAATACCAGAAACAACAACATATTATATACAAAACCTTTAGAACATGTTTTCATTCACTATCTGTAGCAATGTAAGAGTTAAAGCATCACCTTACCTGTAATGGGAATAAGTTTCCAGTGCATTCCAACTTCTCCTATACTGTTTGAAGTGGAACGTTGCCTACGATAAACATGTTCTATAGGTGTACTAGGACACGGACTGTAGTCTTCAAAACTACTTACACTTCCAGTGCTTGCTTCCTAAAAAACAACAAGAATTCTCAGCTCAAAATCAAATTTTTTTTGGTAGCTATTAAGCTTTTACATTCTGAACAGCTGATAGTAAGAACACACCTGAGTTCACCAGCACATTGGCAGTTTTGCCATCAAGTCAAACATGAAATCGTTTACATGAAGTACTTATGTATTCCACTGACAGTTTGGTGATTTCTGAGACAGATGTCTTTGCTGATGGTCTATCAAAGCAAATAAGGCAGTTCTGTGGACATGCTTTACTGTACAGAAGCTAGGTGGGGCAGGGAGGGAAGGAAGCAAACGGGCCAGGGGGGGTAGAAATCAGGGAAGCCATCTGCTCCCTAGCATTTATCAGGCTGTCGTCTTGATAACCGACTGAAGCCATGAGATGTTGGCATTACTTGAAGAACTGCCTGCAACTAGTATTAAGCCTTTGAGCAATCCAATTTCATTTCACATTCCAGATGGTTAGAACCAAAGCGGCACAGAGATAACACGTAGGACAAACTCCTTCCTGCTCCATGACAGAAACTGGGCTTTATGGAGAAAAATCAATAACAGAGATCACACAACAATCACTTTGCAGAATAATGTGATGGCACAGGCAGTTGAGGCACTCTGAACTCTAAGCACAAGCTTTCTTCAAAGGGTGTTCTACCAGTTATATTCTGTTGTGAAAAGTATGCATGGGACGTACGCACCACTGCACCAAGAAGGCATGAGAAGAGAGCTAGGCATGTGCTTAAGTGTTCAGAGTTTTTTAACTCTGCTCCCGCCAAAACTAAATAAAGCCAATTCCCCAACCGTCTTTAATATCCCACAGAGCACTTAAGACCTTCCACTATGCACACCTCACACTTTCTCCCTTAGACACTGCTAGACGGACAGGAACAAACCCATCAGCTTTCCTACAGTGCAAGGCCAAGAGATGGACATTGCAGGATCCTCACTGGTGCACACAAGCAAAGGGCATTTTCCTGCTCAATGAAATGTCTGCTATTATTAGACATGTGAGAAAATATTGGACCAAGATCAATTCCCAGAATTGGAGCAGTAACTTCTATTAGAGCAAAACGTTGCTTGATGATTGTAAAACAGTAAGAATCACTTTATTGACCCTGAGGTATCGTCACTAGAAAAATGTCACTAACTCATACACAGTCAGCTGAGGTAAGATGCTGCCACGGAGGTTTTCTGTTTGTTTTTAAGATAACAGTTCAGAACCCATAAAGCATATTTAGTTTCCAAAAACAATCAACTTAAGTTTTGCCAGTCTGTTCTATCAAGACAAGAGTGCTGTCATCGAAAGGAAACGGCTCTCATTTTTGCTTCTCTGGATTAACTACTCATCATCTATGGATAAACAGTCTTAAGATGCCTCCAACCAACTCTACCTATCAAATGCAGATTGGAATTTCATTTCTTTCACTTTCCTGCTTATGACAAGAGAGCAACAGGCCAAAAAAAGTCTTGAAATTATATAGCCTGACTCACATATTTATTTTTGGTTTGCATTTGGTGGGAGAAGAGGGAAGAATTCTGGGTGCATAAGCTTTGAAAGAGATTGTCTCAAATGAGTTCTGGGAGGAGCCTCATCAAAAAAAGGCTTGTTTCTGTGCCTGAGATGAAATTTCATAATCATGACAAGCTGTCACATCCAAACCACCTATCAGGTCTACCAGTTAAAGGCTACGTAGAATACAATGATTAAAGGCTTGCCCTGCAAGTGCTGCTGAGAGAGAGTCCATAAGGGACAGCAACTACTGCCTTACAGCCTACTTCCAGGAAGAGTAACAGCTAGGCAATAATTACTGTGAGGAACTCATAGAGCTATGCTTCAGGTTGATCAAACCTCAATGCTCTGGCCAGACCAAGAATCAACCCTGAAGGAGAAGGAGGAAGATGAAGGCAGTACATAAGCTGTTACAGTAACACTGTATTTATTCTATGCGTCACCTTCACAGGTTCCTAAAAACCCCTACCACCATAAGCAAGGGAAGAGCCAGAAGAGACCATCTTCTTGCTGCAAGAGACCGAAAACAAACGCAAGGTTTGGGTCTCAGCAAGCAGGAAAAAACACCCTTCATATGCAGCACTTGGCAACAGAACCCCACAAGTTTTGCTGCCTATTGCTGCAGCAGCTGCATATGAGACAGACTGTAAAGCTCGTGAGGAAGACCGACCATGGCTGCTTTCCATCTTTCAGTACTCTTAATTACAATTTTATTACAGGTAATCAAAGAACCAGGAACGCACGCATCTTAAGAGTTAAGAATATTTCCATACACCACCCCTACCAAACAGAAAAGCTTCTTCACAGAAGTTAGTGCTCATCTTTCTTTACTCATGTAAAAAACTTTCCTTCTCTCAGTCTCATAATATTTATGATAATAGTACATTCATTATCAGCATTTACCTACCCGGCAATTTCACTTACTTTTAAATGCTGTGTGTGTTCAAGGGCTACTTCATTAGCTGGAAGCTGCAGATCAACATCAACAGGGTAGGGCAAGCATGCCACATCACCTTCCAGCATCACTGGGCTCTGTGGGTCCTTAAAGTTAACATTTTCAGCTTGAGCAGTATTACGAAGCTCATGATCATCTTTGTCCTGTGCTGGAATGGATTCATATTCATATTTTTGTCTCAAATCTTCTTCCATTTCATCACTACTTAATCCTAAAGCTTGATTTACAGACTGTGCCAGCGACGAATCCAAGCGTCCTGCACTAGCTAGTGTTTCTAAAAGCAGTTTAATGAGGCCATGTGTGTCAGTACCAGCAGGGTCAGGTTCATCTTGCTGTGTCAAGTCAGTATCGTGTCCACCAAGACCAGTATTAACTGAGAAAACAGCGTGTGGCGAATCCGAGGTTCTGTCCCCTTAGCAGAGAGGGAGGAGGGGAAAAGGAATTAATTACTAAGTTTTAATCTTAAAAGCAAAACCAGACACCCCCCCAAACAGCAGCCACATACTCACAGTTCCATTTTCTAGCATCCATTCACACAGTACACATACATTTATTATTTTAACCAAACTAATTGAAACAGGTAGATGTTGATGAGAGGGCAGTTTCTAATGCCAATAGTCTCCCCAGATAAATCATGGCTTTTTTTTAGGTCATCTTGGGTTTTTTTTTAGGTCATACTATTTTATGTTTTAATAGAAGTCACATACTCTCATCTATGCACTTGTGGAAATGGTCTAACATTCTCCCATTGCTTGGTGAGAGAAAAAGATTAGTTTGAGCAAGACAGTTACTCCTCTCCCTCCTACCACTATTGCTCTAGAAACTGATGAGTAGCGTAATGCTTAACCTCCCAAGCTGTCCTAGACAAAGCGCAATTTTGAAACGTCGCCATGTCTGTTTACACTAAATGTAGCATCACAACGGGGTTATTATTCTTCTACTCACTCATCCCCTTGGGGTATACATTAGGTAAGATCTTTTGCAAGGCACACAAATTACTTTCAGGGCTATATAAACACACAGAATTCAAACCAGAGATGTTGCTGTTTCGGTACCCCTGAAGAAGTCAAAATTTAGTCCAAACACATACTGTTCTGATTACAGCCAAGTAGAAATCTATTCACATATTTCACATTTATAATCAATGTAAAAGGAGCCTGAAGTTTCACAGACTTCCAAGCACGAATCCAAGACCTAGCATGTAGCCTAGCCTCTGTCTCCTCCATCCACACCTGTTAGCGCCTTTGGTCTGACTCAAAAGGGAAAATTATTCCTAAGATCAGCCATTTCAGCTTCCAAAGTGATTTACCTACACAGGAGACTGACTTGTGCCTGATGTAAATCTACCTCTTCTTTGTGCCACCCTTCTCCCAGTTTTTCTCCTTCTAAAAGAGGCCTACATCATTGCCTTGAGAAAACAGTCAGGGAAACAGAAATCAAAGGGTTTGTTTTGGTTTTTTTTGCATATCTTAAGTTTTTAAGTATTGGATGATATCTGTGATAATTATATGAGGTTTGGATGTAGATAGTTTCATGTACAGAAAAATTCAATCAGTACTATTACATTGTTTCTTTTGTCCCACTACACTGGGACATTACTGGCTATTTCAAACCTTTATTGTGCTCATGGTCAGAGGTTTAATTCCTCCCTCCAAACTAAGTTTACTACATATCATATAGGATACCAGAGCCATACAGATTTGCAGCAATGCCTAAAGTCAAAATCTGCAAAAGACATTATGATATCAGATTCACTTAGTACTCTATATTAGAAAGTCTCTGGACAGTTCACAGCTAAGCCACCTCTTTGGAAGTCTGCATTCTCTTTGAAGAGGCAGAATAAAAGCAACTTCCATGATAACTCTCCTAGAAAGGAACAACCTACATGAACTTCATCTCCACTGAGAGATCTCAGGCCAATGTTTACATGAACCAATATGCATTAAAATACCCACAGTATGCAAAAATATTCACTCTATACAGACAAATGTTAAGTATGCTTTGAATTACAATGTTTAAAGAAGAAAAGACTTCCTTACCTTCATACTGACAACTGTTCTCTGAAGATTCACTCATTTTTAAGTATTTCCGCAAATTTTCAGACTGTTTTTCCAGCTTTCTTTTCAGGCCACTTTTACTTCTAAGGTCTTCAGAATCACTGTCTCCACCTACATTTTTTTTCCTACACTGGATTAAATTAATAAGATCTTTGAGTCTATCAGGATCATAGTCTCCAGAATGAGGCAGTTTTTGCTTGGTAGCAGTGGCTTCGTATTTTGCACAGATCCTCTTCCTGCTTTTTGTGCTGGTGAAATCAGAGCCTTCTTCTGTGGCTTCATAATCTGAGACAGGACTGAACTGTTGAGGTTTCCGACTTCCCTCCATCAGTTCCTTAGCTCTAGAAACAGGTAGCTGATATGCCTCACAACCAAATATATAGTTTTGCAAGCAGCCGTCAATATGAGATTTATTTCTTGGAGCAGCATAAAGAAATTTTTTGTCATCCAGCCGTGATTCATACCGATATAATACAAATTCTCTGTATCTTCCAGGGCCACTACATCTTTTCAAATACTCATTTATATACTTTTCCACAACTGCATTGAAATCTGCAGTAGCATCTTTACGGGACTGGATTAAAGCAAAATGCAGAGACCGAATAAACTTTGTGAATTCTGGAATAATTTCCTGATTTTCATGCAAAACCACAGCGGTTGAATTTTTCTTTGTTCCAAATGGAACACTTTTTCGTACTGCCATAGGAGAAAAGGGAATTCACAATTAAAATCACATCATAAAAGCTATAAATAAATGATGTCTAGTTAGCAATATTCTGTATTATACACATTTGGTCAAACACAGTTTGGAATAACTGCCGAGAAATAACCCAAAAGCCAGGAGAGTTGTGGTTGTTTGTTGTTGTTGTGGGGTTTTTTTTGTGTGGGTGTTTTTTTTGGTTTTGTGTTGTTTTGTGAAGTAGCCAGCTATAAATCTAGGAAACCTAGGAAGCTGACAAGACTTTAGGATAGGAACATCTCTGTAAGATGAGGTATGTTTTGTCAGTATTACTTCTACTTCAGAGCAGGCCCAACGGGACTGCACTTCTGCTGCTAGCATTACTTACTGCAAATTTCAACTCTAGAAGATTAACTGCAAAATCTTATCCTAAAAGTAATGAAGTTCTACTACAGCCAAGTCCTTCTGGTCGTCTTTAGCTAACTGTAAAGATTTTATATCAATATGCTCTTTGCTCCTTTACTCAGTTTTTGGTTTGTATCCCAACTAACAAAAAGAAATTACAGGTACATTAAAGGCTTTCAGATGTTTTGTCCTTGATCATTTAATGGTTAAAGCCCTCAAACCACTGAAGTGCAATGGTATTACCAATGCATAGACCACCTGGAATACCAATGCTCCTTCCTACTAGAATATACAGTCAAGAACTCTTAATGAAGTTTTACTTTCTCAAATATGAACAGATAGACCAAAAATACATAATGTGATAATGGCTTTTTGAAGAAATGAACACTTTTTGAACACCATCACCATGACCATAAACAATGCAAACTGTTATTCCTAGTTTATACAAACAGGCTTTAACACTACAAAGACTTCAAGAGAACATACACTACACTTAAATAAGCACATCCACAACACACTCAACTAGGAAAAAACTCACCTGAGCTCACTAAACCTCTAGGCTCTGGAAACAGAAACAATGCATATAAGATGCGGGGCCGTCCGGCTTGGTGGTCTAGAACACAAGAAAATAAAAACAGTTGGGAAGACAATCACTGCGCTTCGAAATGCAATCCGGTACTTGACCCCCTGCCCCCAAAAAAACAAACCAAACCCCAAACCAGCTCAAAACCAAAAAACCAGTGCATGCATACCATAAGGGGACATCATTTGCCAAGGAGAAAGAAGAAAAAGAAATCCTCTGTCCAGAAGCGGTTTCACAAGAACCTGGTTTGAAGCAAAAAAGGTATTCTGTTTCAAACAGTCCAAGATATTTTCTTGCTGTGAATACTCTTACTGTCTGTAAGCTAAATTCCATTATGTGCAGAGAAGTGCCCTGACTCAATGCTTAACCATATGGCAGCTAAGGAACTGCAACGAGATCATGGATCTTGTAGTACCGCCTCAATTAGTACTTAGTAAAATTATTTTTAAAACCAGGAATAGTGAAATGTGTTGCACTCACAAGTTTCTCTTTCTCTAGTTTTTGAAGCAAACCCTCCAAGTGACAACCAGAACGGGACTTCTCCACAACTTCATAAAGGCTGCAGTACATGCCGTTCTTCAACACTGACACAGTGCAAGCGCAGAAAGACAAGGTGCGAAAAAATGAAACAAAATTGTAATTCATAAAACATCTCAAAATTCTGGATTAAAACAAAAATAAGCTAGAACTATTTACCTTCTTTTGCTCCTAGGTAAGTTTCTTTATAGAACAACACAGGTGCAACTTTTTTCTTCACTTGATCAATGTTCACAACTTTGTCAATCTCAAGCTTCTCAGGACTGGAGGCAAAGGGTGGGGGAAAGGAGAAAAAGACTGTTTCATGAGCCAGTGGTGTCACTGCAAAAAGCTGACACTTTAAATGAAAAAAAAAAAAAAGGGCAAAACAAAATCCAAAACCCAAAAACCCCCAAGCAATCAAACGAACAACAAAGCACCAAACAAAAAAGAGATGCTGACAGAGTTGTGCACATGAACTAAAGAAGCTCTGGACACACATGACTCAAGAGTCTAGTTTGACACGTTTAAAGCATCCAATCAATGTGTATTTTAGATTTTCATCTGAACACATGCAAAATTCACCACTCTCTACCAGAAAGTTTTAACCCAGACGTATTTTAAACTTACTCTTTAAATGGTAATACTCACAGCTTGCATGGAAGGAATGGACATACTGCTGATTTCAAGGAAATGTGGCAGAAAAGTTTGCCTTTATTCCAAAGCTGTCCCCTCCACACTGTATAGTTACATTTATCTAAATTAAGATGGAGAAAGAAAGACTAAACGAAATTACATGACTGAAAGGAAATGGCAGTAAAGAGGCTACTGAATCTCCAAAAGCAGTTTAGGGAAAATTGCATATCAATACCAGACAAAATATGTTAAATACTAAGTTGAAAGGTAACAGAAAGAATGTTTACAATCCCATTGTTGTTTTGATCTGCTCTGAGCAGAGTAAAGGAGGTTGTACTTGCATCTGTTAGTATGCCCTTGATGCTTATCATCTGTGGGATGATACCCCCTTCCCTTATCTTAATTGTCGGCCACTTTCATGCATACTAATATTTTGCTTGAATGAGGTTTAAAAGAAAAGCAGTACAGAGGATCATATTATTTGAAGTAGCACTGAACAGGACATTCATGAACAGAAGGCAAGTTATTACTACACTAGAAGCAGAAAAGGAAGGGCAAAAAGGCTTTTGATTTTGTTGAGTTCTGGTTTGTTCCAGTAAAGGTAGACATACATTAAGGTGTCTGATCATGTGGTAACAGGAAGAGATGCCTGCAATCAGTATGGTACATGATAAAACTCAGGTATACAGTCAGCATAACAAAGCTGGTTCAAGAAAAATAGAACTACATAGGGAAAAAAGTCCCAAACGTTCCATGTCTAGACCATAAAAAGCAATAAATTCCAATCCATTCTTACCTGTACTTCTATCTGCATTGAAGCTGTTTGATCTAACAAAAAGTAAAAAAAGATAGAATGACTCCAGGTTGAAACAAACTTCTGGCTACTGAATTTTACCTTAAGGATACTTTATCAGTCTAACAAAAGAACACTGATAATTTGCTCTCTAACCCTCAAGCTGTCATTGCTGCAGCACCTTGTGCTATTTTAGATATCCTGGCAACTATTTTTAGCACTACATAGTACCAGTCCCAACATCTGGATGCCTTCCTACAAGCACAGGTATCACATTGTATCTGTAATCAACTGCCCATTTATAGATATTCTCTCCACAAGTATTAAGATGACGCCAGTGAAGAGTTCAGTGCCAAAGCATACAGAATATTTTTTTTAGAATACCAAGCAAGGTAATGCTGTGAACATTTTTATGTCTGTGAATTTCCTCAGTTAAGCAAAAAAATCCATTATACATGGAGACCTAGACAGAAGGTGAACAGGTGAAAAGTGCAGCAGAGCTGCTTCTTACAGAGGGCAGCTTGCTACATAAAACCAAAGTTTGTCACCTCTCACTTTGCATTAGAAGTATTTATTATGCTAAGCCTCTGTGACACGTCCATTCATTTCAGCACTGTTCATCTAAATCCACTCTAACCTACTGCCAAGAGCTATGAATTCTTCACACTGCATGCAATCTCCCAATACTCACTTCCCAGCTTACCTTGACGGGGCTGAGAATTTTGGTCCTTGCACCATTTCATCTTTGTAAGTAAATGAAACAACAGCGTAAGGACAAACGTGCCTTGGTCTTCGCCTTATCTCATCAAAGCCATATTCATAAAAATAGTACTAGAAAAAGAAGTGAACGCAGTGTTAAAAGTCTGGTAAACTGTATTTTGAAAGTATATTAGCAATCCACAACCTGTCTTCACTGAAAGGTCTATTCTGTTTCACAGGAATAGCTTACAAAACACAAAAAGTATCTGTTTGAAACTTATTATGCTAAACATTAACTGTACATAAAGCAAGTTACTATAACAAATCATATTATGTTATTTTGACCCACAGCCTATTTCTTCAAAAGCTGATACCTAAAATAAGGAAGCCTTTAAATGCCGTTCTTATACGTACTTAATAAGACAATCAATTATGGTAAATTTTTCACCTTCTCCGCCCTCCTTTATGAAGAGGGTGGACACTGCTTCAGAAGTTAATCAATAACAAGAAAGTGATTTTTGCAACATTTATTTGAAAGTATATTCTTGATGAGGTAAAGGACAATTAACAAAACTTCCACTGAGGAAAGGAAATACTGCTGTAAATTCTGGAGTCTATCCTTAATTCAGTAATAAAATTCTAACATCAAAGAAAAATGTTCATTAATGCAAAGTTGTAATGAGAAATTAAAACATTTCCTAACCATCTGATTCAGTCCCCACCTCTGAGCTACAGAAGTCAAAAGACTGAAAAGAATGCATTCAATTAAGTGTCCTGAAATCCATGGACTTGATGGAATAATCTGACTGCAACAGGTTACTGCAGTAATGGAACAGCTGGAGGAACAGAGATGCTTGGAATTGATCCCATGCTCTCCTCCCTCAACAACTCCAAATCTGAAACTTCGCTACGGGAAACAAAAGAAAGGCAATAGGAAGCAGGGGTGGGGGAGAAAAATGCTGTTCTTTCCTGACCAATATTTTTCCTTCTAGGAGTCTCACTTAATGCCTGTTAGACAGTTCTACTTTTACACTCCAAACTTGACATATCATCTCCCCTCCTCCCCAGCCTACATTCCAGTCTCCATGTACATTCCCTAGTTACTTCCTGTTCCACCTGCTCCTAATCTGAATATCTTCTCCATGAGGTCCAGGTATATATAAAGGGAAACAGGAGAGACTGATGTTGTTCTGTAATTTCTAACAGAGGCGCCCGTGGACTACTGCTAAACATACACAAAGGGTGAGCGTGTCCTGTAAAGCAGCAGTCTGTGTATCTTCGGTGATTTTACTTCCATCACTTCCAAAATTCTATTTATAAAGTTCTTATGTAAGAGCCAACACATGCTCAACTTTCCTGTACCTGAGTAAGTTCATAGGCTCGATAAGCCAACAAGGAGGTCACTTTATTTGCATTCTTGGAAACATGGCACTCGTGCTTCGGTGTTGGATCTAACGCACTCTTCACTGATGATTCCATTGCTTTCATACCAATGTGGTCATATATGCTTTTCATTTTTCCCTGTAATAAAGCAGAAGAATTGTAAGCACAAGCTTTATCCTGAAAATTGGCATATTGCTTCAAATACCAAAGGAAGTAAGAGTGGTGAAAAATGGCCTATTAAAAAGCCATTTATAGAAGTACATTGTTACCATACTTTCAAATAAATCCTTCTCCCCTTTCATAAAAATCTATTGTGCCTTATTTAGGCTCAATGTCAACATGGATTTTAAACCTGGCAGGGTTCAATTCTCTCTATAAGCAGGTAATCATGTGAACAGAAGTTGAAAAAGGGAGGTTAAAATCACATTTTATCAGTAAGCAATATAATCCTTCAAGAACAAGGAAGATAAATTTACCTTCATTATTTTAAAAATAATCACATCTCCAGTTGCTCCAGCTTCTAGAGGATTAGGCTGCAATAAATCAGCATATCTGGAGAGATACACACCTGAGAGGAGCATAAAAGAAACAACCCCACATTATGCTGAATGTTGAAACGTTATTAGAGGCTTCAGAAGCATTACACGGGATTAAAGCTCAATGAATACCAAACAATAAAGATACAACAGTGCTTCTGGAGGAAGGGTAAGAGCATGTTCACAATCTGCAACGTCACAACAGCAGAATAAATGTTATCTGCATCAGCTGCAGTATGAAACATCAGAGGAGGCTACGGACACTAGCTCAGTTTGAAAGGACCACACCCATGCTACTGGACTTGTGACCAACAGGACAAGCCCTGCCCAAAGTCTACACAGATACTTATTTTGGGTGTTTTTTTTTTCTTTTATATAGATTTTTTTTTTTTTTTTAATAGCTGAGGTCCCATTTCAGAATGTGGAAATAAGCAGGAAAACACTGGTATCTTCAGCAATCTTTCATCCTGTACTGCAAAAATATACTGGCTTGGAATTGTGAACTGACACACAAATGAAAAGGACAAGTCACTCCTTGCTTGTCAATCTTCAGCCACAATTTCACAGATTTCAAGGCCTCAAAAACACACTGCTATCTGTTAGTCTAGCTGACTAACTCCAATCACATAACTGTAACTGAACTCAGGAACTCAGAAAAGCATCTGTTTTGCCTAGGTACCTCTAATTTCAAGCCAATATTTAGCTGCTTTGAGAAACTGCTCCAGAATCTTTATCAGATAAAACAGTAAAAATTTATCTGCCCCCATACCTTTGTTCTCCTCCTCCTAGCATCTGCTCTGGTTTTAACATTCAGACTGTCACCTCTGTATTATGCTACTCTTACAGAGGATCACAGAACAATTTCTCAATTTTCTATTTAAAAAATTTTGCAAAAGGAACTTTGCATCTTGCACTTTCAAATCTCTTAACATCCTGTGACTCTTTCAAGTCTCACATTTATCTATGCTCTTCTTGGACTTGTGGATTCAAGAACTTTAGTTCTATTTCCATCCATATCAAGCTGCAATACTATTTCTAACAAGTATTTCTGAGTGTATAGATATATGTATGCACAAACACAGAGGCATGCAGCCATAGATTGCTTTAGTTCTTTGGCCTGACAATTTTACTGGGAAAATTTTCCTTTTGGGAAAGGAACTTCTGTGAACTAGTCAAAAACAAAGTTAAGAAGTAATGAATAATATCAGCACATATAATCAAAAGATAGTTACCCATGGAAGGGCTGCCGAGGGTTGTTATTCTGGAGTGGCCCACCTGCAGCCCCTTTTCGCATATGCTTTGGATCTGAAGAGAACAGACATTTTTTTTAAAAAAAAAGTCCAACAGAAAAGCCAGAATATGAACAGAACAAGCAGTGAGAAATAACAACTAGAGAACTGGGCTAAAAAAAAAACAAAACAACCCCCGAAAAAAACTCCTACAAACAAAACCATGAAGTCTGAATTGCTATACAAATTGTTAAAACTGCAAGTCCAACGCTCAGTATGAAGCAGCTATCTTAGAAAAACAGCCTCCCTATACCTTAAACACATTTCATGAACATTACTTGCTTTTAGTACACAAAGCAGAAGTAAACCTGCCAAATGATGGAATACTTGGGAAATCCTGTCTCTGTAATAGTAGAAAAAGCACAGAAATACTCTTTCCATCACTTTCATTAAAACATACAATTGAAGAAGAGACAAGAAAGATAAGGTCCATTTTCTAATATTACAGATTACCTTCTCCTTAAGGTAACTTCTTCTTGATGGAAAAAGAAACAAAAAACCAAAACAAAAAACAACACCCACAAAAAATCAACTGCAACGAAAACATACAACATTTACTTTTCAATTAAAAAAAAACCAAAAAAACAACAAAAGACAAACTCAGTAAAACCCCACAATGCCATCCAGAAAATCCACCCTTTTATTTATAAAAGGGCCTAAAAGAGAGCTACTTCAGAGAGACATGCAAATTGATCACCTTAAATAGCAGAACATAAAGGATTTCAAAGATGACATAATACCGTATCACTTTCCTATCCTTCTACAACTTCTAGTGCTGAATTTTGCAAAAATAACTTAAACATTAGTAAGTCTACCAATAAAACCACTTAGTTAAAAAACCCTCTCAGTTAAAAAAGAAGAGAAAGCATTTTACATGCAGTTTTGTTCTTACCTGAGGTCGCTCGACCATCAGAAACGCGTAAGTTTCAGAAAGCTCTTTTTCTAGACGACCATCAAATTTCAGCTCCCTTCGTTTTTCTGTGAACTATTATTACAGAAAGTTCTTAACATGCAGACAGACTCGTACTGTCACATTCAAGTGTCAATGTTTTAAGGCCCCATGTATGTTGGCGGATCCAAAAGTACAAAAATAATCAAAAGACAACCTGAATGAGACTATAGTATGCTAAAACTAAATTTCAAAAACATCATTCCCTTGGGAAATATCTTCATCTGCCCAAAGATTTCTTTCTGCATTTTTGTTTTACTTTTTAAGGAGGAGAGAGTATTCAAATAAACCGGTGCAGTAATGCTCTAGCACTACCTTTGCAGCTTAACAATCTAGAAACATCCATCTTAATGACTTCCATATAATCTTTGAAACTCTAAAAATAAGCCTTTCCTCTTTTTAGGAGGCAGACTGTTATCTCTTATGTTGTGCAGGTACTTTTGCAGGTGCACCTCACTGCTACTGAAGTAATTTTCATCAGCTGCAATAGTCCTTAGCTGTAAACATCAATCAGAAATGTTACAGTAGCAGGAAAAAAAAAAGGCTTTTACCTTACAGTTTCAAAATCATAATTATAGCAAACAGATTATATATTCTCTTACTCCATACATGAAGTTTTTTGGCATTGGGACAGAAAACTTATTTCACAGTTATGAAAGAAAGCCAAGGCTGGATTTAAGAGACACCAGATAAGGTTCAGAAGAAGTGCTTCAAGCAACCTGCTCTACTTACTAGTTCAAGTAATAATTCTTAGGTACTTCTTGGAGAAAAACAAAATTACAGAAACTATGTAAATCTAGTATCAGAAAAATAATTTAATATTAAATTTTTTTAAGAAGCATCAGGCCTTCCAAATGAGACACTGTAACATCATTCCAAGTTATTAAAAATACATAAAAATTAAGAACTTTTTTCAATACTAAGAACATATAGAAACAATTGGTGCCAAATAAGAATTCTATTTTACTCTTTTTTTAATATCTTGCAGCCATGATTTTATGTCCATGCAGTAATAAACTTGTCTGAAAAATAGCTGCTTATATTTTGGGGGATGTGAATTTGCAACTGAAAAATCAAACACATAAGTAGAAAACAAATTTCAGGTCTTAGCCTCTAGACTCAGGAACAAAAGACATAAAATGCCATTTGACTTGGAACATATTCATAAAGAGAAGCCACAAATATACTCACTTCCTTTTCCAACAATTCACTATGAACTAAGCTGGCTCTTTTGTAATTAAAATTGCACACTGAATTTGGTTCCAAGTAAGACGAATGGAGAATCTTCAGGATATCCTCAAATTCTCGAGAGCCTACAGCTACTGGCTGAAAGAGAGCTATAAAACAGAAGAGATAAAACTGTGAGCTCCAACAGACATCTGAAAAAAATCCAAAACTTTCCATTTTATCGACAGTTTATGCATGAAGATAATGGTTCATGATTCAATTTAGAATACTAAACACCTAAAGTACATGAAAAAAGATGGAATTTAGGCTAGCAAGTTTAACTTGCCAAGAATTATAGCATGTTCAAAAAAAAAAACAAAAACAAAAACATTTTTCTTAACGTTTCAGTATTACTCTTGAACAGCTAGTGCTCAGAAGACCTATAAGGGAAGCACCTCAAGTCTGCATTTACTCTTTGAAAACATCGGATATGTACTGCAATTCAGCTTTTAGAACTTTAATTAAACTAATTAGCTCTTTTAATTAAGAACCAAGAACAAATTGTTCTAGTAAAAACCTCCACAAGTTTCATAGCTTATCCTCTCATTAGAACCATTACGGGGATTTTAGTTTGCTTATAACAATTAGGCTAAATCTGAATAAATTCAGTACTGTCTTAAAAAGTCCAATGAAATCCTCTGTTATTAAAAACCACAGTGCCTATCTTCATGCTTTATGATCTTATTCTGTATGATAACTGCTGTAAAAGGAAAGCCCTTCATTTGTTGTACAAATTCACCTTTGGGGCAAACCTCTGCCTAAGTTCACACAGTAAGTCTTCATCACCCCGAGCTTCTTTAGCTGTATTTGGGTACTGGGAGAGACAAACTGCTCAGAAAAGCATCCCAAGAGTGGACCAGCAGAGACTCTGGGCACAGATTTTGAGAGAGATTTCTAGGAAAATAATACTCCTGGGGGAACTGAACTAGTTCAATATGGCAAGTGTTTTTGCCCTCAGGGTAAAAGTGCAGTATTTTTGTGGTATTTCCAAACTTCAGACAGTAAATAATCCCAGCCTCTATTTCCAAAACCACTTTTGTAGGGGAGTGTATTTTTACTACAAGATAAACTCCCAAACTACCACCACCCTGAAATAGTTAGGAATGAACTACAATAGTACTAGCCTCACACAAAAGACCATCTACCACTACTGTAACAGCAAATCAAATTTAATTACACCTTTAGATCATATCTCCAACTTCATTAAACAATATGGTAGTAGATTTAGACAGTAATATTTTCCTCATTTGCAGAAAATATCTACTGCATTAGCCTCACAATAAAACAAATGTCGTAAATGAAAACTCTTTTGTCCTATATAGTAAAAGCTGCGTTTACATACACACTTTATAACGTAATAGCACATCCACAAACTTAAGTAAAGCAATTATTCCAACACCAGCCACAACGAGTAAATGATTTTAAGAGGGGAAATCATGAAAGTGATTAAGAAACTGTTCTCATATAACATCTTTTAGTAACTACACCTTCATTCTTCAAAGGCTGACAGCAATATGGGAGGAAAGACAGCTGAAGTGAAAGAAATTCTCAGCTTCACATTACTAAGATTGAATGCACTCGTGCTCGCCCTGTTAGTGAGCTTGGGCGAACCGACACAGCGACTGCGCAGCCAGCTCCCGAAAGACACCCGGCAGAACGCTCCGCAGCGCCTTCAGCTAGGGAGTACAGCAGAACAAGAGTTTGGGGGCTTTTCTAATAAAGATTGTTGTAGGTTTTTTCTTCAAAAAAGAAAGAGGAGTGAAAGTATGTGTCACTAGTGCTGTTACGTATTATTAAAAAAAAATTTTCCTTGTACTTTACCAAATTTATACCACAAACACACCATCTAAGTTCACCAGAGGTAGTACTGAGGCTAGAAGAAGGGCTGTTGCTACCTTTGTAGTGAAGACAGTCAAAACTGAAAATTCTAAATTCTCTGGCACAAAACTCACTTTTAAGATGCCAATTTATCAATCTGAGAACATACAGAACAGTAAGACCAATTCCACCTAACTGATCACATCAGTCCAAGAACAAGACTTTACATCCATCTTTAGTAAGAAAATGCTTAATAATCCAAAAACTCCATGGAAATGGAACTTTCCGATGTGCGCTGCCCACTCAATACAAAGTGAACAAGAACAGCAGCTACACACGTAATCCTGCCTTAGTTTAACTAATATATCAACTGAGGGATTTGCTTCATGATCAGATGTCATCTACTGAGAAAAGAGGAATGTGACCAAAATTTGTTGAATGTATAATCCTTGCAGAAGTAATACACTGCTTAAGTTTTGAAGATTACTTACAAACACCAAATTTTACCACCAAAACATACTGTCTGCCTGCCATCTTTTTATATATTGCAGTAGCAGAAAATCCATACTTGGTTTGAGAACTATACAATACCCACTGTACATTTCTCCTTCAGAGACTGCTTGGCAATTCTGTACCTACTGCACCCTATTTCCAAGTTGTCAAAAGATGGACGGAGCCAGGAATATCTGGCCGACTGACTGCAGGACAGCACTATAATCATATTAAAGACAAATGTCACTTAGCTTTGAATTTCATATAAACTATCACATACAACAGTCAGCAAGTTTGTTACAGGGCACCCCATAAACTCTTTTTTTTTTTTTTCCCCTTCTCCTAGTATGACTCTTCAAACACACTCATCATAAGCTTCATGACAGTCTCAAATCTACTTTCCAACTCTTCCAGAACTTGAGGCACTGCAGGCTTCAGGTTCTTACCTAAATCCTGAAACATTACCTAATGAGGTAAGTAGCAAGGCATTTTTAATTTGTCATCTAAGCATTGGTGCTAAATATTAAGGTAACTCTAGAAGGGCCTGTACCTCACTTAAGAGTTCAGAACTAAGAAAAATGGAAGCACTGAGCTAGACCTCCTACAGCAAACACCACAGACTATGTCCACAGGCAAAGGATGAGAATACTAAGCTCATCTCCAGTCCTACATCACTTCAAAGACCAGTAGCAGGTACAAACCTCACATGGATATGTTGCACTTTTATTGACCCATGTAAATTAAATGGTAATTTATCTAAGGAGTAACTTCAACTATCCTGGTAACACATAGAAGCCAATTACTGTGTTTTTTGCTAGCTTGTTCTTTTTAAGTAAAACTAAGTTAGTAAATACTGGTTTCATTCAGTTTCTACCCAGTGTATGGGAACATAGGTATGTATTTTTAGGTGGAAACTCAGGTTAGCTAAAATAGTACCTAGGTCGGGAAGGGACATTAGACTGGATGTTTGGACACGTGTTAAGTCCCTAGAGACTTTAAGTTTCACTACTGCTTGATGCTTCAACTTGAGAAAACTGAGTTTGGAGACAGCAGATTTGGTTGGTTTTGTGGTTTGGTTTGTGGGTATTTTTGTGTTTCGTTTTGTTTTCCTCCAAGTCAGAATGTGAAGAAGACAACAGAGACATTCTCTTTAAAGAATCCTGAACTAAATTTCAAGTGAAGATGAATAAATTACTTATTATCAGGTAAGCTGGCAGAATGCTAGCTTCACAAAGTCCTCCTGCTACAAAAACTCCATTGAGAAGCAAGATTTTAAGTTTTCATTGTTAAAGACCAAGACCCAAAATCTTGTGTTCATAAACCACAGTGCTGTTACTTTTATGATTTTATCAGCCCTAAATGTCTTTTGCTCTCAAAAGGTCTGAAAAGTTACCAAATTCAAGGGCTGCTTTATGAAGTCCCCATGTATAAATAGCAGATATGCATCTCTACCAAAGATACAGAAAATTAGAAGGCAAAAGACAAGGAAATAT